ATTTTATCACATATTTACTCCGTATTACTTTAAATAAAATGACAAAATATCTTGAGCATTTAAATAGGGAAAGTTTGAATCCTTGCAAATGGGATGAAAAGTTACTATATAAAAATCCATATGGTCTCTACAAGTATTTGGCTCAAACTCCCACTCGCTATTTGCTACATATGATTAAAGTCCAATTTATATATCGTCTTAGTTAGTTGTGCATCAGGCCAGGCGCTGAGAGCTCTTTAGGGATGAAGTGCCCTTTTTTTACTAAAGTGATGGTTCAATTGTCCTCCAACCAAATTATACTTCTACCGGTTTTGCAAAGAGATGGTTTTGCTCAACAAAAGGTCCGCAGGATACTTTTTTATAGATACTCAGTTGTCGAGATCGAGAGGCACACATCTTAAATACTCAATGAATGGATTGAATCATGTCTTATCAATTTTAGTGTGTTATATTATATCCATTTTTAGAGGCGTACTTTTTTTTTTTTAATTTAATTTACATCTTTCCGTTGATGTTTGTAGTACACAATTAAATGATCAACGTGCTAAACTTTTTTAAAGCATGTTTTTACCAACAGCCAACAGGCAAATAGCACTATTGCGACACTCAAATCTCAATGTCTCAGCATATAAGGAAATATACACGTTATGGATCTCGGCCTAAATTATTTTACAATAGAATGTAGTATTTGATCAACTATAAGGCAATTAGCAGATACTCCCTCCCATTTTTAAATTGTTCTTAAAATACACCTTTTCACAGTGATTAATTAAGAAGAGAACATGGAGTCACTACTAAGAGACCTCGTATTTGACTCAGATTTTGTATGGGATTCCTTCATTAAATTTCCGATCCTAACGCTTTTGGCTCGGATTTATCACAAATATCCAATTTGGGCCTATTTTGATGTGCCAAATATATGGTACAGCCGGCTGTGCCGGCCGTACAGCCGGTGGCAAACTTGTAAGTATGGTGAAAATCACATGTCCTCTTAAATGAGCATTACATCAATTTTGATGAGTATCGAGCCTGTTCTTTTGAGTATTAGGATCCTAACAGTAAGCATTAGTGATATCTGATTCATTCCTCATATATCACATTTTGTTTATTATTTTTTCGTTTATTAAAAAGTTTTAGTCCAAAATGAGCATACATAACTTACAAATTAGTATCAAATAATTAAAAAGTTCATTTGTGTGTGCTCATTCATTTTGGGCGTTATACTCATTTGAGTTTAACATAAAACTCATTTCTAATGTGTTCAATATCCATTTGTATATGTTCATTTAAAATGAGTATTACACTAATATCAAATGAGTATACATAAATTACAAAATGAGCATTCATAAAACTCATTTGAAATTTCTACTATGCTCATAATTTCATTTATTATGTTCACATCTGAAGAATTACGTATAACTTAGATTACTCTAACCTGTGGCCAACAAGTGACCAAACTCACTCACCAAACTAAGTAAGAAAAAGAGAAAGGAAGAATCCAAAACAAGAAAAAGGGAGAAGAAGCAACTAGGGCTATACACCAGGTGCTGCGCAGGAGCCGCCGCTGAAGTCGGAGTTTGAGGTGATGCGCTCGTGCTGAAGAGTTGCGGCTGTTGAGAATCGTCATCTATGTTGGCGGCGAGCGAAGGACGAGCATCGAGAACGATTGGAAGCCTGCGAACTGCGACGAAGACATGCGACCTGCGAATTTGGAATTAAAAGTCCGACTGTACCGTGCGCCCGGTACAACCGGCTGTACCGTGCGCCCGGTACAGCCGGCTGTACGATGGAATTTACCATTTTGATGTGCCAAATTTTTGGCTGAGATTTTGATGTCTGAGCAAAAGTTTGTCTCGAATTTTGGCCCGGCTTATTCGAACTAAAGTCTCGCCAGCACATGGATACTCTTATTTGGCCCGAATTCTATCCTTGCCAATATAGGCTCGGCCATGTCTGGGCCAAATTTCCTAAGCTCCCAGCATCGTGCTATGGCTCGGAATAAGTTTGATCCAAAATGCGTATACAGTACAAGCAATACAATATACATTCTTTTATACAAATATTAAAATGACACACATTAAATATAAAGTAAATAAACTAAAATAAACTCATTGTCATTTTAATAATAAAGTCATGAAATGTTCATAGAGTATATGGGCTCGGACCCGGTCCACATTCTCTTGGATATACAGACGACCCAAATCCACACCAGTACCAGGGGCGCCAACGAATAAGCCCAGTCCAGAATGAAGAGACAGACTTTCTGTCCGTACCATCACCTCGGTGTACGCACCTTGGCCACAGACCGTCAGAAGCCCATCCAGGGACTGCAACCACTACACCTGACGCGTTTTGAGCGAGGTGATGGTACGGAAAGAAAGACCATCTCTTCATTCTGGACTGGGGTTATTTGTTGGGCCCTCTGGTACCAGTATGGATTTGGGTCGTCTGTATATCCAAGAGAATGTGGGTTCTGGGTCCGATCTCATATACTCTATCAGGAGTCCCCCACTCACTGAGCTAAGGAGCACCGGAGTGAAAGGGAATAGAGGTTTTGTGATGTTGTTCCTGTGCTTTGATTCTTGGCGCTTGTTTGAGCTTTGAGTCTAAAGTGATGTGTTCCGGGGTAAGCATGGCATCCGTATGTACTTTGTTGCATTTTCTTGAGTTTTTCGAATTCTGCTTTTTCTTCTTTGGATCGAGGTGTAGTCCCCCAATCCCCTACTAGCTCCTAAATCCGAGATGATTATCAGATTGAGGAGTATGCCATTGGTATTAAGGACCGCTTGGTAGTTGATGTGTTGAACCTGTGTACTGAGGTGCCACGTGCGAGGTGGCCTGAGGGTCTGATCTCTTTGGTGAACCCTGAACAAGGTAAACCCTATGGGAGAATCCTGTCTGAAGGTCGCTAACCAGAGACCATCACCAAGGTGCTCAAATTGGGGGGCTTAATCCGGTCTTTAAGTTAAGAGTGATACCTGAGGTGCGTCGATTTTGTCTGACGTTGATGATTTGTTTACTGAGGGTGCGATAGGCTTCGGGCATGCTGGTGTGTTTGGCCTTTGTGCGTGTCCTCAAAATTCTACCGTAGCATGGAGAAATGGTGGTGTCTTATTGTACCGTGGTGCACCGCGTGTGATAAATCGCAGTGCGTCAGAAGATGAGGTGTTTGGGAGGGGTGGCATGAGCTGGTTGGTCGAATCTGGGCAGTCACATCGATTGAACCGAATGGCAACCATCGTGATGACACGTATAATGACCATTAGGGGGGATCATCATTGCTCTGCCTATAAATACACGGCATTTGGATTCATTTTTTCCTTGTGCTTTCTTGAGAACAGACGAAGTGCTGCCAAACTCTAGAGAGAGAAACCCTGTTTGCTTTTTTCGAACCTTCAAGGTCAGTTTTCATCCGTTCTTCATAAATTCTCCGTACTTATCTCCTGAGACCTTAGATTAGGTGTTCGTAGGAAATCGTTGTTTGATCCTTAGCGACTAAGTATAGAACCTGTTAGTGATGTCATCCTCGGATTCACAAGACATATTTGGGTCCCCTGTAGTGCTCTCAGAGGCCGAGGAGTACTCCTCTAGCCTTGACGGTTTTGAGGTAGAAATGATCCCGAAAGTATCGAAGCGCCGCCAAGTGGACTTTTTCGCTGAGGTGGATTTGTCGACTGAGTCTGAGGGAGAGGCCGAAGCTGACTCCGCTAGTGGAGCCAAGGAGCATCCAAGGTTTCACGAGTTCCTTGAGTTTGTATGTACGTGCCATCAATTGCTTTGTTTTTACTGATGTTTGCATTGTTTTTCTTTTCTTCGCAGAAAACGATATGGACAAGACATCACTTCTCGCTACGTCTCGCCAAAATCTGCTTGCGGAGAAGAAGGCTGCCGATGAGGCTATGAAGAAAGCCGCTACTGATAAGGCATCGAAGACTGATAAGGCTTCAAAGAAGGACGCTGATGCCGAGAAGAAGTCCAAGAGGTCGGAGCTAAGAAAGCCGGGTCCTCAAAGAACAAGAAACTGAAGGGGGCCTATGTCACACCCCAGACCGCATCTAAGCGCGTCGTCCCTAGGTTCGTCAAATTGTACCATCTTACGTTCATTTCTATGATCTACATAGATAGGGTTTATATCATAACCATCTATCAAGACTAAACCAAGTCTCATAACCTAAGCATAACAATCCATGCAAAACGATGCACGTAAATCACTTATATGCACGGAGAGCACCAACCCGACGCCAGTTCAGCCATAACCGGCGCCGGTTCACATTTAATTTTATTATTTGGGGTTGCCCCGTACTCCAACCGGCGCCGGTTATAGCCTAAACCGGAGCCGGTCCACTTTCTCCTTTGCGGTCAACGGCCCGTTGACCGCCCGAACCGACTCCGATTGATCCGAAACTTAACGTGAACATGTATTAAGTCTTGAACAGTCAATATTTGCCATTTTGGCCATCCAAAACATCACATCTGTTTTTATATCATTTTCATATCATTTTTCATGCATAATTATTATGGTTCATCTCATTTAAGCCTACTCATCTTGGTTAATCACATGCTTAAATCATTTTAAACATCATTATGAACACATATAACATTTACTTAGGTAATATCATACTTAAACCAAGATTTACAAGACATTAAGCCATCCACTTGCCTCGAATGAGCTCCGGCGAAACTCCGGTGAAATTTGACGAACTCAAGTGATAAATCCGGAGACTTTTTCAACTCCGTGAAAGTATTAGCAACTCCTTATACAATCTCCTAACAAGGTTTTATGATCACAAAACCCATATCAACACAAATAACCTCTAAAAGGTTATTTTCCGACGAATCGGTCACTTTGGCTTCTAAGCCCGTTCTTGGACATAGAACTACCTTTCAACCCCTCATTATACACTTCCAAACATGTAGAACAATCCTAGAGGTCCTCCTTATGCTATATAATTCATATGACAAACAAATGGTGGAAGAAAAGTCATTAAGGAGTTTCTAACCTTTATTCTTAAGGTTTTTCCTCTATTTTGCAACCTTTTCTTCTTCCTTGAACTTCTTGTTTGTTGAGCTTCATTCAACAATGGAGAAATGGTATTTCAGGGATGTTCTCTCTCTCTTGGAGTGGTTGGTCGAGCTTAGTGATGGGGAGGGGTGAGGTAAGCTTCTTTTGTCTCAATTGCACAATAAGAGAGGGGCGAGGTCCACCTCAAGTCTCTTCTCACCCAATCCCTCAACCAACAGCCCATTGCCCTCTATTTTCACATTATTTGGGTGTCTAAATTTGACTTTGAGCACAAAAAACGTAGGGTGACCCCCACTCACGTGGGGGGTCATCCCTTTATGTCCCAAATAGTACAATCGACCCCGAAAGTTGTATTTCTCGGTCTGTTTTAATTTTATTTTATTTTATCGGGCCAAATAAAATATATCACACATTCTAAATAACTATGGACCTTTATAATGAATGTACATTCCCCAACTTAAATTTAGAAGTCTCTTAAACTTATTTCAAGCAGTTATCTAATAAATTACCAATACCGGTAATTGGGCCTCGTTTGACCAACCGGTCAACCCTATGCCTTTGTTATGGTCCAACTAGGATATCCACCACCGTATAAATATTATATAGACCAATATGAATATAATATGTGGTCTCGGAAATATCGGGTGGTCCCCGTTCCCTGTGTGGGGCCCACATGCAATTTACTATTCACGCAATAGTAATAATAAAAATTTACAACCTCGTAAATTCATTAACCATTTTCTAAGGTTCAATACATTATTTAAATACAAGAAAATACATTTGGGGACAGTGTTACAGCCGAGGGCCAGAAGACCCTTCAAGAGGTGGGGCTTATGGGCAAGAAGAACTCCACACCACAGAGCAGTAGAGCCCCGACACACACATTATCGACGTCGAGCAGCTGGCTCTGGGGAATGATAGGACCCAACCTCTCCAGATTATTGTGGAAGGTGCTTCCTCCAAGGGGACGTCAGGGGATGCTTTCACCGAGGGGCCATATGAGTCCCTGACTGTCAAGTTCTCGCCTCGCACAAGCTTGATTTCGGGGATGATCTACGGACATGAGCTTGCCTGTCGCTCCATGCTCGTTGCTGATCCTGCGGCCTTAAAAAGCTATGAGAACGAGGCGCTAAGGCGGCACGACATGCATGACTCCATGAGGGTATGTTCACTCTCCGTAGTACTTATTCGCCTGTTTGCCTTTGTGTTTCTTTATCTGATATTTTGGAATATCAATGGGAGTACCTTGTTGCTGGAGTATGGCCGGTGGATGCGTGCCAAGGCGCGCAAAATGAAGAATTTGACTCAGGACCGCGAGGTGTACGAACGTGCTAAGGCTGACCCCGAGAAGATAGGGCCGAGGTGGTAGCGCTCAAGGCCGAGAAGGAAGTAGCTAAGGAGGCTAAGTAGAAGAGCGTCATTGCTCTGGCGGTGATGGCGAAGGCCAAGGAGAAGTTTTAGGTTGCCGAGGCGAGCACTGTCGAGGAGCTGGAGAAAGCCAAAGCTGAGGCGACTAACATAATCCCTCAATTCATCGATGGAGGATGGGAAGGCGAGGATCATCAAGCATGGGTGCATTCGGTTATTGCGGCCCGCCATGAAAAGTGGATGCAGACCCTTAAGGGCAAAAATTTCATGCTGATGAGGGGGACATTTTTAATGCCGAGGGGGAGAAACACATGCATCAACTCATCTATCAACGACTGCGCTGAAGGGATCAAAACTTCACCCCTTCTAGCTACGGCTTGTCCCCAATGATGAATGATCTTGCTTAGTAAATGAAAAAACTGCTGCCCGAGAGGCAAGACCCCGTCATGGATTTGGACCTGGAAGACAAGGCCAGTGACGGGGAGAAGAGCCTCGTGCGGCACGAAGCGGGTGGTGGCGGCCTCAAAGAGTTGGAGGTTGATATGTGCAAAGAGCCGAAATAATGTGCATCATTTTGGCTTTCCTTATAAGAAACATATTTTTAATGGCCGAAGTGCCCACTGCTTGTAATTTTTTCTATCTATTTAAGGGAAGCGGGACCAGGGCGTCACTTAGTTTGCCTTTGTTGTTTGTAATCGAAACACTTTTCTAATTAACATTTTCTTCACTTGAATTGCACATTGCTTCTTCCTTTGCGTGTGTACTGGTTTACTTTTTGAATCACCTTGGTGTGACCTCCATGTGCTGCCGAGGTGCCGAACGCGCCCTTTTCCTTAGGGATTTTAGCTAAGCCAAAGGTCTTTGTTGTTTACAGGTAATCCCACCTTGATCGTAAGTTTTGCTCGTATTTGTTCTGACTGACCCGCATTTGTACTTAGCCATCTCTCCTTTTTGAATGTATGGATTCATGTCGGACTTGTCTATTGCACGACCGAGGTGACCACTTGTACTATTTTTTTTCATGATTTGTCTATTCGGCTGAACGGTTTTTGTACATAGCCATTTTTTACTATCGAACATATGCTTATACGTCGGTCTTGAATAGGGGTGTTCATTAACCGGATCGGACCATAATTTAGACCTTAAACAGACCAGAATGGACCGGTCCGGACCGGAACGGTATTAACCGATCCGGGTTTTGGTCTTTAGAATTTTAGGATTCCGGGTTCCGGTCCGGTCCGGGTCAAACCCGGAAAAATACAGGTTCGAACTGGCAGCTCGTTAAATTACTTTTCCAAAAAAATACTTTCCTTTTTAGGGTTTGTAACCAGTGGCCCACGCTTGCACGCTGCTACACCACCAAGTCGCCAACATACTCTGCGCCTCTACAGCAGAACAAATGAACAATTGTGAGGAACACTTTGTCGTAGTGCGTCAAAATAAATCCAATACTAATACTTATACGTAGTATAGCGTAGTAGAACTCGTATCCACATGGAAAGGAATAATTTTCTTTTTTGGAACTAGTAATTAAAAGGGGGGTTTTGGGATTGTTTGATTTTCATTAATTAAAATACTAAGATGAATTAATTAATTAATGAGACAAAAGACTTGGCTTTGCTACTTTCCACTTGTTGATATGTTTGTTGATCCCGATTATATCTATAACTTATCCCCTCTCGAATACTCTATCGAGGAGTATCTCTAATTCATCTAGGGTAGTTATTAACCACGACCGTGCATTAATAACCCTTACTATTAGCCAAGTATAGAACACCGCCATATACCGACTTGATAGTAGCATTTAATCTCTTAACTCCTTGATGAAATCAATTGAGATTGATAACCTCGACACAACGGTTTCGCTTTAACCAATACAATTAATCCCTCTTAAGAATATTAACCACGATCGTGCATTAATAACCCGAAGTTACTTACTTGTGAAACCATCAATGATTAATCATCGGCTCGTTGATCGTTTATGGTAGTAATTAATGTCAAGATGTTAGATAATTGTCATCTTAGCAACACTCCCCAACATTAATATATAGATAGAATAAGGGAAGAATTAATATTCAAGGGAAGAAGTAAGAAAATAACTCACAACTTTAACATTCAACAAACTTCAAGAGCAAAACCAAGAAATGGAAGTTTAGCTCATCATTTGGAGACTAAACAATGCTAGAAAAATATAAAGAAAATACTATTCTAAGTTGAGCTTAAGTATATGGAAGAAGGGATATCAAAATGGGAAAGCAAAGAGGTGTATTTATAGGTGTTTTGGTGATGTTGGGTCTGATACCCGACCGGGTATAGAGGATACCCGACCGGGTATCTATGGAAGTAGCCACGAAAGTGCTAAAATCTAGTCATACCCGACCGGGTATATGACCAAATCTGATTTTCCCACGTTCTCTTGCTTTATTTGATCTTGTAAATCTCCGGGTCAAGTCATACCTGACCGGGTATCAATAATACCCGACCGGGTATGACACCAAATCACATTTTGCATGTTGTCTTGCTCCCTTGCACCTTCCTTTGATTTTGTAAGATCCCTTTCATGATGCTTTGTTGATCCTTGATTGATTCTCTCTCAGGATGATTCTAAATTTACTAAATTACAACAAACTAGAAAAATAAAATGATTGCACCGTAAATGTGCAATTACCACAACAACATATCGTAAAAACTAATTAAAAGTAAAAAAATATACACACACAAAAATCAATGCAATCAAATTGACTCCTCAATCCTCACCGTCGGCTTGTCGCCAGTTCACCACTCCCCATCGATTCACCTCTCACCTCTGCCACTCTCGTAGATTGAGAAGAGAACATACGTAATCCTATTATCTTCCTCTTCATTGCTTTGTTCCATACACCTCATCCGTCCATCTCCTTTCTTGAGAACATAGGTACGACTCAGTCCATTGTTTTATGTCTATATTTGAATCCGAGGCTTTGATTTTGGACCTTTTGGTATTTAGTTATTTACATATGGCTCAGTTCATTGTTTCTGGAATTCACATGCTAATAGCCCGATAATTATCTATCTCCGTTTTATGAATTTATCAATCCCAAGTAAATCCTTTCCATTTTATTAGATAAGATCCCTATGGCTGGGAACTTGGAACTTGGAAGTCACAGATTAGATACTTATATACTTTTAAACATGTTTGTGAGTTTGTGACATGGTTTATTAATTTTGGCATGTACAGATGGAGAACTCTACCTCTAGAAGATGGGTGTATTCATCTGAACAACATGGCTCGACATTGTCTGATGCAGCAAGTAAAACCAATCTTGCTGATTTGCAGAGAGGGCTTCCTCCAGGCAAAAAGCTTGTGGAAGGACGCAACTATGTGGTTAGGAAGAGTAAAAAGAGAAATGAATACTGGTCTGAATTGAAAGAAGAACTGATTAGGTCTGAATGTATGTTTTGCGATAAAACTTTTGCTTCTGATGCTAATGTTAATGGTTCAAAAAATGTCAAGAATCATTCAGAAAAATGTCTAGGTAATCCGGCTAATAAAAACAAGGGTGAAGGAAAACAGATAGAGTTGTATTTTCAGGTCGGAGATAATGGAGCTGAAGAGGGTGAAGGTCTTTTGAAATATGGAGATGTGAACTTAACTGATGTTAGAGAAGCATTATTTAAGATGACCATAATGGATGAGCTTCCTTTTAGACATGTTGAGAAAGCAGGTTTTAAGTATTTTATGTCTATTGCTTGCCCTAGATTTCATATTCCATCGTGTACCACATTTGCTCGTGATTGT